CCCTGAGAATACCTACTTTGTCTGGTCTGTACTGTGTGATAATAAAGATCTTATTGATCAAGTCACCTTTAATCTTAGGGGTTCTGTTAGGGTAGGTTGAAAAATGGAATTGGTAGAGGCCTCTGCCTCAGGGCACAGGAAGGCAGAAAATCATTGTCCTGCTTTGTATTGCTGTTTGGAGAGCTGGGAAAAACTGAAAGGCTAAAGACTATTAAGTAGTCTTTATTTCAGAGCTCACTCTGAGAGAAAGGAAGTCATTGTGCAACAATAGAGTGATCTGTTAAATTAGGAGGCAGGTCTCTGATTCCCCAGGAGGAGTCAGGATTTCTCCAGCTGTCTATAGGTAGCTAACAAGGCAGGGTCACTAGGGAAAAGACCTGGAGGGCTCAATGGGTACTACATGTGGACAGAAATAACTTGGGTGTGAGGTAGTAGAAAGGGAGACTGGTAAATTATAGGGAATATGTCGTCCTGGACAAAAGAGCAATCATAGTCCTAATTAACTGGCTGTCCAGGGTGTGCAGAACACCTCTTCAGGGGCAGACCTGTGTATTTACCACAACTGTGTGCACTTGCCTCACTTCTCAGACTATGTTTTGCCATCTATCATCCTTTAGGCAGAAATGAGACAGAGAAATAATGGCCAGGAAAGTGGTTTTTGTAACCTGGCAGGGTTTCTGGGCCCTTTTAAGACACTGCCATCATGGCGCTGCAATCTTGCTGTCCAACCAAAGAGTTTGACAGGAAATGAGACTGAACACATAGTTGCCAGATCTGGTATTTCAGAATGAGCTTGTGTTTAAAGTCTGTTACCTATTTTTAAAGAATGTCTTGGGGCCAGGCACCAGTAGCTCAAGCCTGTAATCCTAGCTGTGACTTGGGGCTAGTGAAATCGCTTAAGTGTTAGAAGGCTTGCCTAGCATGCATGAGGCCCCCAGGTTCAATCTCCAGTACTAACAAAAAGGTTACATTTAAAAACTGACCTGGGCTGGGGTGTAGCTCAATGGAGTACTTGCTTACCATGTGCAAGGGCTTGGGTTTGATCCCCAGTCCTGAAAAAAAAGACAATGTGTAAATTCAGCACAATCTACATTATGTGAACTGTTAATGTTTTCTGGGGCGCTGGATTCTGGCCCCCAGACTAGGGAGCACTGCTCATAGAATTGCTGGGACGTAAGCAGGAGGCCTCGTGCAAGAGGTTTGTGCTCACCTCACTCAACAGTAGTCATTACTGCCACCACTTTCCCATGGGATCTGCTCCTCGAGCTCCTCTAGTCACCCAGCAGGTAAACTATGGGGTACATGGCATGAGCCATCCTCCCTCACCCTGACCATGGCACTCTCCTGACTGAATAGCTGGCCATATCCCAGGTAGAAACCCCACATGTGAAAGTGAACCAAACCACCAGCAACAGAACCATTAATGGTGGAAATGACATTTTCATATGTGACATGGTGCACAACTTCATTTGTAAAGAAGTTCTCTTCACACACAGCAGCATTCACAGAGGACCCCATCTGTGGCTGGGCATTTATGCAGATCTTTCAAGGTAACCTCTCCCAGCACTGGAGCACCCAGAGCAGTAAGAAGCCTAGTACTGGCATAGGGCGAGTACTTTCCTTTTCCATCACCAGAGCATCCAGAGCACAGGGAAGTAACAAAAAAAGATCTCACTGAGAAGAAAAACCTTTCCACACAGCTCCAATTTTAGAAACTATGCAAGTCATGCCAAACAGAAACCCTCCAAGAGCAGGCACTGTATGAGTAGCTGTGTGAGGCTCTGAGTCACAAGGACCTTTGCTCTCTTCAACTAACTGAGGACCTACACTGAGGAGAGACCCTAAGCAATGTGTCATGCACAAACCAACCCTTATCAATAGCAAAAACAAATCCCCATCAAGGAAGCATATAAGGAATGTGTATAAGGAGTGAAAGAAACTCTTCATACACCTACCCTATATGAGAAAACAACAATGTTCCTGTGGAAAAGAGGAATTACAATGAAGAATGGGAAAATCTGCAGCACGATACTCTTTTTCATCACTAGAGGATGAAAGCAGGGTAGTAAATGTGGGGAAGCCTTTACTCACTGCTCCCGAAATCCTGGGTAGCATTGTATCCTTGCCGTTTGCTATTGCAGAAGCTCTCTATATGAGTATCTATTACTGGGAAACATTGCCCAACTTAGTGGGTGCCTCATGTCTGAGTCCTGTTTTGGGGTCTCACAAGGTTGACATTGAAGTGTCAGCTGGGGTGTAATCACCTGGAGGCTTAGCGCTCATGCAGGCTCATAGTTCAGTTCTTAGTGAGACATTGGACTCAGAACCTCTGTGCTTGTTGGTCAGAGACTGCTTCCAATTCCTTGCCTGGATGGACTCTCTAAAGTGGTGTCATCAAAGTTTATGGGCTCAAAAAAGCAATGGAGAATACCAACAAGACAAATGACAGTTATATGTGCCCTAACACAAGTTGCATCCCATCACCTTTGCTATATGCTGTTTCTTAGAAGCAAGTCACTTGGTCCAGCTCAGTCAAGGGGAGGGAATTACACAAGGCATGAATAGCAAAGGGGAGTGACCATTGGATGATGTCAGAAGCTGCCTCCACACCATCTCAGCTCCACTTGCTGACAAGATCCCATGGTGTGTCAGTTCCTCAAACTGTTTTGGGCAGGCAGACTGATGTCTCCCATTTTCTGAATGGAATCATGCTACATCTGAGCCTTTGGACTCTCAGTTTTTCCACACTATGGCTTTAGATGTGGGTGTGACACAACTCTGGCCAAGGTCCGAGCTAGGTCTGTCCAGAAGAGGTTTCTCTTTGTGGATTTTTTTGGGGATACTTGCAGGTGATTTGTTCAGTATGAATCACTGGAACCCAGACCTGGCTTTCTCTTACTGAGATAATCAGATTTAAAAGTACAGCCTTTTCATCAGAGGTTTTTTTTTTTTTTTTTAACTGAGGATGTGAGTTGAAACAATCCATCCTAATGTGATAGGGGGGCAGGTTTTTGGGGGGACTCCAAATTTAAATGCCTCAGACAGCTAGTCCCGAAGAATGGGGTGGGCATTTTTTTTTTCGGCAGTACTAGGGTTTGAACTCAGGGCCTATACCTCAAACCACTCCACCAGTCCTTTTTTGTGAAGGGTTATTTTGAGACAGGGTCTCACGAACTATTTGTCCAGGTTGGCTTTGAACTACAATCCTCCTGATCTCCGCCTTCTGAGTAGCTAGAATTACAGGCATGAACCACCGGCACCTGGCCTGTTTTGTTTTTTGAGATAGGGTTTCTCTATATAGCCCAGGCTGGCCTCACACTCAAGATACTCCTGCCTTGGCCTACTGAGTACCGAGATTACAGGCAGGTCCACCATGTATGTTAGTTTGAGAACCCCCACAGCAAGAGTTGGGACCCTTGCCCAGCAGATGTTCCATTTTACTAGCTGTGTCTTTGAGGACCTGCCCAGGACTCATGACTCATGAGATCTAGAACCCAGCAGACAAGTTTCAGTGATTCAGCCATAACAAAGGCCATGTGGAAACACAGGAAGTAGAGACTGGTACACTAGGGGGACATGGTTGTTCTGACAACTGTGGCCCAGAGGCATAAGGGTACATAGAACTTCTCAGGACTTGCAGATAACACCTGTAAGTGAAATGTGAATGTATGTTTTATGTGTTCCTGGGTGAAACCCAGATGGTGGCTGCACAGTATGAAGACAAGACAGTGCATGGCCTAGAGTGGCATATGTGAGTAGAGGGTTTCTAGACTGCCACACAATAGTAGCTTTCATTGTTATACTTCTGGTTGACACCAAGCATGTTTGTCCCTCTTAAAAGGAGATCCCAGAAGAGCCAAGTATTTGGATTTTTTTTTGCATGGGGGGCAGTATTGAGGTTTAAACTCAGAGCCTCCCACTTGCTAGGCAGGCACTGTACCACTTGAGCCACTCTGCCAGCCCCTTTTTAATGCTGTTATTTTCAAGATAGATAAACCTGTCATCCTAAGCTATGCAGGAGGCTGAGATGGGGAGGATCATGGTTTCAGGTCAACTTGGGTCAAAAAATTTGCAAGACCCTCATCTCAACAGAAAAAAGCTTCGTGTGGTGGCATGCACCTGTCATCCCAGCTATGGTAGGAAGCAAAAAATATGATTGTGGTCCAGGTCAGCCTAGGCAAAAAGGAGAGACCTTGTAAGAACAAAAAGGCTGGAGGTGTGGCTCAAGCAGTAGAGTGCCTGCCCAAGCATGAAGCCCTGAATTCAAACCCCAGTACTGCCAAGAAAAAAAAAACCCACATTAAGGAGACTGTGGGGACTGAATATTTATATTCTCCCGAAATGCATGTTGGAACCCTGACCCCACCCCACCCCCAAGTAAAGTTTGGACTGACAGTGATGGTATGAGGAGTACCACCCAAACTGGCACTTAAGTGAAAGGGCTAAGCCACCCTCTTTCCCTGCCCGGCTGGGGGCTGTTTTGTATAGAGCCCAGTGGCAAACCAGAAAGCAGCTTCAGGGAGGTGCAAGGACCTTTCACCTATGTGCTGGGAGCCACATGATCAGTCCAGCCATGGCTAGCCACATAGGGTACCAAGGATGGGAATTCAGATGACCCACCCTATTTCTTAAAGGTCTGAGTCCAAATGTTTCAGCTAGACTTTAGCTTTACCTCCACACAGTCCCCAGGTTGGGTATTCAGAGAAGCCAAAGCAGACCTAGGGTGAACATATGCCACAACTGAGCAGACTGCTATCATTGCCTAATGATGAGCCTGCCTGGCACACTACTGGGTGTGGCCTGCACATTCCCACCAACAGCATTGGGCAGAGGGCAGCGGCTGTGGCAATCTCTAACCCCAACAGTTGTACTGGCTGGGAGTACTGGAGGTTCAGGGTGTTCCTGCTCTTAGTCCAAGCATGACTACCAGAACACAAGCTTTGAACAGGATACAGCTAGACAACATAGAAGTTTTGCTGAACTGACATTTTATTTACTTTTTGGGGACATAGTTTCCAAAATTTTTAATTAAAAGATCCCCCCAACATTGATCCTACCACCACTCTGCCCCAAGCCCTGGAAGGACAACTCTGCCACTGTGGCAACAAAAACCAAACTATGATGAAAGCCATGGCATCCAGAGGCACCAGAAGCACTGACTGGGTCACCAAAGTCACACCCAGAACTATAGGATGATGGTGAACAGCTGAAGGAGGATTCAGAAAATCTGTAGATTATTTGCTGACAGTGACCTTGGCCACAAATGACCGGCCTGGAATTCCTGAGTAGTTCTGGGATCCTCACCCTGTGAAACCACAGCTGCTGGGAAATTGTGGATTTCTTTAGAAGTGGCTCAAGCCCTCCAGTTTACTAGATGCCTCACTCCATGTTACTTCACTCAGAATTTCTGCACCCTTGCTCTACCCAATAAGCCCTGTAAGTCTAAGCAGTCTAGAACTTACCTCTGCAGTTTCTGGAAACAGCTGCTTTTGACCAAAGCCAGCCCTTTTTTTCCTTTTTTTGAGACAGGGTGTTGCTACATAATGTAGGCCTTGAACTCTCAATCTTCCTGCTTCAGCATCCCAAGTGCTGGGATTACAGGTATGTGCCAGCATGCCCAGCTACCAAGGAACCCTTTTGTTGTTCCTAAACACATGGAGTTCCTTACACCAATCACCCCTTCTTCAAGCTGAGCTCTGGACCCACAAATAAACCTGACTTCCAGGCTTCACAGTGTTTTTCTGGAGGACTCAGGCCATCTTGACTACAGCCTTTCTCTGCCATCTTGCTGTCCCCACTAAAGCAGAAACAAGTCAGAAAAGCTATTACCTCTATTCACACCAACAGAGACAAATTCAGTTCTCAATCCTTCCACACACAGGGATCAGAACCTCCAATATGAAAGGTGGCTTAAACAGTAAGGCCTTTATTACCACACACTCCAGAGCAGCATGAAACAGCCTGTTCTCAGTATGACAAGCACCATGTGCAGTGTCAGCATCACCCATGAAAAGGGTGCACATTCCCTGATGCCCCAGAAAGACCACTCGGCATCTACTGGCCACATCTAAACCAGCCACGAGTTGCAGATGAAGCCCACTGTGGGCTCCACCATTCATGATTCTCTACTTGGGAAGACAGGTGAACATGAAGTCACCATTCCTGAAGACACTGGTGAGACTGAGGCACACTGCAGGAACCTGCCCTGTGGTGGAGGTAGGGTACCCTCTGTGACAGAAACTGGCAATGACATAACTCTGCCAACAGCCCTGATCAGGTCAGAGTGCACCGTGGCTCCTGAATTACCCACACATGACACGTAAGGAGAACTGCCCTGAGTTCTCCATCTTCTTTCTGGAATGAATGAAAGTACTAAACAAGGTACAAGTGTCTTTTGCATATACCCTGACCTCCTAAGGGCTTTCTCCAGTGTGGACTTTCTTGTGCCGAACAAGGGTAGAACTGTGTTTGAAAGCTTTCCCACAATCTGTGCATTTATAGGACCTCTCTTCAGTGTGGAACTGCTGGTGCCGATTGCAGTAGGACCTGGTGGTAAAGGTTTTCCTGCACAGGCTGCACTCGTAGGGCCGCTCACCAGTGTGGACTTTCCAGTGCTGGTACAGGCCAGAGCGGGTCACATAGGATTTCCCACACTGCTTGCACTTGAAAGGTCTTTCTCCAGTGTGCACTCTTTGGTGAAGCATGAAGCTGCTACTGTCCTTAAAGCACTTCCCACATTCTCTGCATTGATAGGGCCTGTCTCCAATGTGAACTTTGCGGTGCCGAATTAGGGTAGACAGAACGCTGAAGGCCTTCCCACACTTGCTGCACTTGTAAGGTCTTTCTCCAGTGTGAGTCCTCTGATGTAGAACAAGTGCATCTTTGCGGTTGAAGGTTTTCCCACACTCGCTGCATCGGAAAGGCTTAATACCTGTGTGCACCTTCTGGTGCTTCCTCAGTTTAGATGGGTAACTAAAGGCCTTCCCACACTCATCACACACGTGGACTGTTTCTCTGGTGTGAGCCTTCAGGTGACTAACATGGGTTGAGCTCTCACTGGGGGCATTTCCACCTGTTGGGCATCTGAAGGGTCTCTCTTCAGAATGAGTTATAAGGTGGTCAAGGAGAGTGAAAGCCTTCTGGAAGCTTGTCCCACAGCTGCTGCACTTGAAGGGTTTCTGTGCACCATTGACTCCCTGTTGCTGCCCGACACTGGAGTGGGGTGGGAAGGCTGCCCAATGCTTGGTGGTACTGCACAGCTTTCCTTTATTGGAGGTGGCCTGGTGCTGGAGGCCTATGGTGGCTATGTCATTCTGCTCAGATTTTCCACACATACAGGGCTTCTTTGACATTTGCTTGGGAGGAACTTCCTCATCTTTTACTCTACACAGACAATCTGAAAGCAAACACAAGTCAGTTACTGGTCAGACTGGAGGGAAGAAGTGCCTCATCACCAGCGCGTGTCACACACACACAGAAAGGACACCCAAGAACTGCTGGGAGGTTGATGGGAAAAGTTGAGGTAAGGATGGATTGGACCAGCAAAACTGGACTCCACTGGCCCCAGAACAGGGAAGATCTGAATGGAGCCAAGAACACAAAATGGGGTGCTGAACAGGGAGGGTTTCCAAGACACTCCTCTCCAAAGGGCTTCAGCGGAGCCTGAGCTGCTAGTAAGAGTTGAATACTGTGAAGAGGCAGATGCCTCGTCCAGCAAAATCTGACTGCAAAACAATAGCTGGGGCTGAGGACATGACTCAAGTGGTAGATTGCCTGCCTAGAACCAAAAACAAACAACAACGAAAAAACCCAGCAGCAGCTATTCAAGTATTGTTTAAGCACTAGCTGGTGTTCAAATACTATTTAAGTATATACACACGTCTCAAATCACACCACAGTGGTCATTTAGCAGACCCTTTGCTCAGACACAGAGAAACGGGAATGTAAGACACAGGTTTGAGAGGTGGGGTCACCAGGGCCCAAGAGTCATGGTTTAGAGATAGCGAGAATGCAATGTCCAGAAGGAAGAAGAAAGATGGGAAGAAGGTGTGGTCACTGACCTCAACACCACTGATACCCAGAATACTGTGAACTCACTGCTGAAACCAGGGAATCTTTCAGTTCCACTCACCAAGACCAGGACCTCTTCTGGCCTCTGCTGTGCTAACTTTGTACATCCACCCAACTGGGCACACAGGCCTCTACATCTCCACACAATTGAGTAAACACATGTGATCTTGAAGGTGCAAGTTCTGGGGGTGATAGGTAGCAAGAAGCTAGCTCAAGCCAAGACTGACGCACAATGCTACACATGACAGGTATGTCATCATGGCAACCATGTAGAAAATGTAAACACTTCTTAAGGATATATGTATCAATATAAGTTCACAGAAAATGAATTTCCTCTGTACAATTTAAAACTTAAGAAAGTGGGCCTTATGAGTTTTTACCAAAAAAAAAAAAAAGAACTTCCTTTGAAGCAAAATTGACATACCTGAAGTAAGAAAGAGATAATTTTGCCCAGGCATGGTGGTTCATGACTGTAATCCCAGCTACTTGGGAGGCAAAAATTGGGAGGATTGTGGTCCAAGGTCAGCCTGAGCAAAAAGTTTGTGAAACCCCTCTCAACCAATGACTGTGGTATGGTTCTGTCATCCTAGCTACTTAGCAAAGCACACATAGAAGGATTGTGGTCAAGGCCGGACTAAGTATGAAAGCAAGTCCCTATTTGAAAAATAACAAAAGCAAAAAAGGCTGGGGGCATGGCTCCAGTGGTAGAGCACCTGCCTGGAAAGTGCAAGGTCCTGAGTTAAAACCCCAGTACCATTAAAAAAGAAAAGAAAAGAAAGAAAATTTCAACAATTATTGTTGAACACTTCAATTTCCCATTTTCAATAATAGAACCACAGAACTGGGCTGGCAGAGTAGCTCAAGTGGCAGAGTTCCTGCCTAGCAAGAGCTAGGCCCAGAGTTCAAAGCCCAGTACTGCCAAAACAAACAAACCAAAACAAAACCGGACATAGTAGCACATGCCTGGAATCCCAGCACTCAGAGGTTGAGGTAGGAGGATCCCAAGTTCAAGGCCAGCCTGGGTTACACAGTAAGACCTGTTTCAAAAACAAAACATAAGAATAGAAATTTGGGAAACTCACAAATTCATGGAATTTAAACAAAACACTCCTTAAAAACCAATGAGTCAGCCAGGCACCAGTGGCTCACACCTGAAATCCTAGATATTCAGAAGGCAGAGATCAGGAGTATCGTGGTTTGAAGCCAACCCGGGCAATAGTTCACAAGACTCTATCTCGAAAAAAAACCCATCACAAAAAAGGGCTGGCGGAGTGTCTCAAAGTATAGACCCTGAGTTCAAGCCCCAGTACTGCAAAAAACAAAGAAACAAAACCAATGAGTCACCAGGTGCCAGTGGCTCACACTGGTAATCCTTGCCAGGTGGGAGGCTGAGATCAGGAGGACTGTGGTTCTCGGCCAGCCTGGGCAAATAGTTTACAAGACCCCATTTCCAAAATAACTAGAGCAAAGAGCAAAATGGACTGGAGGTGTAGCTCAAGTGGTACAGAGCCTGCTTTGCAAGAGTGAAGCCCTGAGTTGGCAGTCCCACCAATAAATAGATAAATTAAATAAATAAACAGATAGATAGATAGATCTCAAACCAATAACATAATTCTATACTTCAAAGAATAAGAAAAAGAAAAGCAACTAAACTCAAAGCTAGCAGAAGGAAATAATTCAGATTAGAGCAGAAATAAAGGAAACAGAGATTAGAAAAATAAACTCAACAAAACTAGAATTTGGTCCTCTGAAAAAGATCAACAAGATCAACCTTGGGCTGGTGGAGTAGTTCAACGGTAGAGCATTTGTCTAGCAAATGTGAGTTCCTGAGTTCAAACCCCAGTACCACAAAAAAATTTTAAAAAGACAAACCTTTACCTACATTGATGACAGAGCAGAAAGAGGAGAGATAAATCAATTTAGTACCAACAACAATTTAGTTTCATCTGGTCAAACCCAAGACTTAGAGTTATCCCAAAAGCTGTGGCAGGGGAGTTCGCACAAGTGAAGTGTCCCAAACTATCCCAAAACAGGGCTGGTTGGGAGTCCAAAGAAAGAAGCATGACTGATCAGTCCAAAGTATTTGTTAGGGGAACTTAACTTACAGAGCACCAAAGTATATATTCTTGGTATGTCTATCATTATGAGAGTCAAAATACAGCGTTCACATGAAGGTTTAGAAATTCAGTTAAGAGCCATGCCAGCTTCTTTTGGGTTTGGAGCAACAACTTAAAACACCTTTATCAGTTCCTGGGAAGGTTCAAAATCCCAGCTTGGACTCAAACCTGCTGGGAAAAACCTGTAGCTGACTGGGTCACAGGAAAAAAAAAAAAAGTGCTCTGTGCTTTTTTTTTAAAATTAGGACACACAAAGAAAGCAGAGGAAATATGGAAACATATAGGAATGTAAAGGGGGGCATCGCTAACAACCTTACAAAATAAAATGGATTGTAAGGAAATACTATGAACTTAGGTAAGTTAGATGAAATGGACAAATTCCTAACAGACACAAACTACCAAAACTGACTGAAGAATATAAAATAGAAATAAACTTATAACAAAGTTTATTAAACTCCCCTCCCAAAAAAGCCCAAGCCCAGATGGTCTCAATGGTAAATACTAACAATACTGAAATGGAACTAATATTCACACTCTTCCAGAAAAATAGAAGAGGGAGCAGTTCCCAGCTTACCCATTGAAACCAAAATTGCCTTCATACTAAAATTTATCCTGATACCTTACAAAAATACACTATTGATAGATCTCATGAATACAGATGCAAAAATCCTCAACAAAATTCTATCGAGACCAGAAATGACAGAGGGAATTAATTTTCCTATTAATGAAAGGCTGATCATATGAAAATCAATTACTGTAATATACCACAATTAATAGAAAAAAAGGACAAAAAAAAAATCACATAATTATCTCAATGTGGGAAAAGCATTTGACAAAATCTAATTACCTTTCATGACAAACACACCAATCAGGAAGAGAAGGGAACTTTCTCACCTGAAATGGGCATCTGCAAAAAATCAATAGCTAACATCATAATTAACAGAGAAAGACTGAATTCTTTTCCCTTGAGATTAAGAACAAGATTTTACTCTATAAAATACTGGAGGTTCCAGCGAGGTCAGTCAGGCAAAGGAGGAAGTAAAACTACCTTTAGTACTGGATGACAGAATCTTTTATATAGACAACACCAAGGAATCCACTAAAAACAAACAAACAAACAAAAAAACCCTACCACATTTCTACAATTAGCAATGAACAATTCAAAATAAAAATGAAACAATTCCATTTAAAATAGCATCAAAAAGGTGTAGCAGAGTGGCTCAAGTGGCAGAGTACTTGCCTAGTAAGCATGAGGCCATGAGTTCAACCCCCCAGTACTGCCAAAATAAAATAACATAAAATAACATCAAAAAGAATAAAATACTTAGGGCTGGGGAATTGGCTCAAGTGGTAGAGCACCTGCCTAGCAAGCATGAAAGCCAAGTTCAAACCCCAGTACCACCACCAAAAAAAAAAAAAGAAAGGATAAAATACTTAGAAATGAGTTTAATAAAAGTACAAGGTATATTGAAAATACAAGATACTGTTGCGAAAAGAGCTAAATAAATGGAAAGGCATTCCATGTTCACTGATCTGCAAGACTTAAGATGGCAATACACTTCAAAATGATCTACTGATTCAAACTCATGACTCAGGCCTGTTCCAGGGGGTCCTGCAAAATGTCTCCAGAAGACACAACCTGGAGAGGGTACATCTTCAACACAGTCATAGGGCAGGGTGAGACAGAGCTGAGTGGGATTTGGTGGCCAAACTATGACATGACTGACCCCCAAATCCTGCTCCACTAGGCTATGGGGCAACAAGTGTTTAGGTTGCTAAACCCTCTGGGAAGAGAGGCACAGAAAAGAGTCTCAGCATCCATAGCACTTACAAAAGCCCATCTAGGAAGGAACAGCAGCCTCTGTGGTCTGGCTTTGTTATGGGCAGAACTTTCCTGGGGAAAGGCAGAAGAGGTCAGTATGCTGACCTAGTAAGACTTACCCAGAGAGCTAATGAGTGCCAAGTTCTCCAGCATCACATCACGATATAGTATCCTTTGGGTCTCATTAAGGAGCTCCCACTCCTCCTGGGAGAAATGCACAGCCACATCCTCAAACCTCACCAGGCCCTACAATGATAGATGCAACTGAGACTTGAGGCAAACAGTGGGCAGAAAAAAACCAGCTAAAATAGGGACACAGGGACAAAGTCAGGCCTTGACCTGTGCCTCAGGATCCTGCCATTTTCTTTCCCGATAAGCCCCAAAACTTCCCCCACCACACATACCCGCTTACTTCCCTTTTCCCAAGACCACCACCTCAGAGGAATCTGAGGGCCCCAGTGTCACTGGTGCTTTTGGGGTGAAATATTGTACACTGCATCCAACCCATAGCCACAACAGGTTGGTGACCAGACAGATGCCATCTAGGTGCAAGGCTGAGCACACCTAAGTCCCAGAGATCACACCTCGGACGCAACCAAACCTACGCTCACCTTCCTCTGTAGGCCCCCAAATACCTGGTCCCAGTATCCTCCAGTTTTCCCTCTTGCCTACCAGGAACTTTGTAGGACAGCGTGCTTGGACTCTGCAGCCCCAGCACAGCCTCACCAGTTCACACGCCATCCTGCATATGAGCCTCTCACAGCAACTACGATCCCATTCTGCCCCACACCTCCGACGACCCGCGCTGCACTGAAGACCTCCCCACCTGGACCTGTTCCTGTGCCGCCCTGAACCACGCTCGGATCTCCGAGACCCCCTTCCCTCCATCTCTGCATTAGCTCACGCTGTCCTGTCACCTGACGCAGCCTTCCACTCCTTCCGCTGCACCCTCCACTCACGTGCGAGTCGCCTGCCATTACCACCCATGGGCGGAGCGGGGTAGCGAACGCGCTCAGTAGAATTTGGCCAACCGCGTACTGGGCGCGGAACCTCCGGCTACCACGGAACCTTCCCAAGCTGGTCTTCCGGCACCTAGGGAGAGGACGAACTAGGGAGCCGCCTCTGGGAGAATTGCGGCGCCGTTAAGAGCGTGACACCGAGTAACTCTGAGGAAGACAGTCACTGGCCGGCTGGAGTCACAGTGCCTGCCAAGACTCAGGAACCATTCCTCCCCCGCCATCCCCATCTCTTAGGAATTCCGCCCGTAGGTGTCGCCAGAGGCGCTCGACCCCACCCAGCGGTCGCTGAGCAAGGACCACCCAGCAGCCCTAGGGCAGCATCATATTATGACGTTATTTTCTTGCGTCCCTAGCTGAGTGCTTGGTCGTTGCCAAGGCGAAAGGGGAGGGCACGGCTAGCGGCTGAAGGACGCGCGTGAACTACAGGTCCCACAAGCCAGTTCGTGTGCGTTCGCACAGACAGGCCAATGACGGCCTAGGAGGACGGTGTCTCCGGCCAGCAGCGCCGGCGGGGGCGGGGCTTCTATAGAGGCTTGGGAACCTGGAGAGAAGTAAGGACTGGGTCACGTAGCTGCGGATGACGTCTGGGAGGTCTCAAGGCAAGGAAGGCAACGTCAAGGAGTCCCCGAGGCAGGGAAAGCCCGAGAGTCAGGGAAGTTCTTCTTCCTCACTGATGGCGGCGGATGCCCCTCCCCTATCCTCTACCAGTGCTCGCGACCGCTCAGGATCCCTATTGCGGTTGTGTGTCCCCTTTACCGAGCGGGACCGAGGCTCACAAGTGTCCCGGCCGTGGGACTGGGTGTGGTAGAGTGAGTGCTTAGCAAGTGTAAGGCTCTGGTCAATCTCCAGTATACACACACTCACAAAAAGTGTCCCTGGCGCAAACCTATAATCCCAATCTCTGCCTCTGAGAGGCAGATGCCAGCCCAGGCTACATAGCAAAACCCTGTCTCAAAAATAAAGCACCGCTTGCGGCATGACTCAAGTGGTAGAGCAGCTGCCTAGCAAGCACATGGCTGTGAGTTCAAACCCCAGTGCTGGGGGAAAAAAAGCACCCTTTGACTTCAAACCTCAAAAAATAAATAAAATTAGCTGGGCAATGGTGGCTCAAGACTGTAATCCTAGCTACTTAGAAGCTGAGATTGGGAGGATCTCTGTTCAAGGACAGCCTGGACAAATAGTTCCAGAAACCCCATCTCCAAAAACAACCAGAGCAAAATGGACTGGAGGTGTGGCTCAAGCGGTAGAGCACCTGCCTTTGCAAGTGCGAAGCCCTGTATTCAAACCCCAGTTCTGACAATAACAATAAAGGCTCAAGACACTTTGTTGACTTTATTTTCTTTATCTGGAAAATAAAGAAAAAGGACAGTAGGTGTGCCACAAGTGATAGGGCACTTGCCTACCAAACCTGAGGACCTTAGTTCAAACCCGGGCGCTGTAACCAGGTGGGTGATCTCAAGAAGTCCCTGGTCAAGATCTCAGGTCCTTGGTTTCCCTGGAAGGAAATGTACAGAGACACACAGGGATTGCAAAGCAACAGCAAAGTTTTATTGAAAAGAAATTTAAACAGGAGGATATGCTACAAGAGAGCAGAGGTTCCTTAAGCAGTGGCTTAAGAGCAACACCTGTAGCTCAAGAATCCTGGTGTCTTGGCTTTAAAGGGAATTTATATATCATAAGGGGTGACTGAAGGAGGAGATTACAGTGTTTTTGTTTCTTTTTGGTGGGACTGGGGTTTGAACTCAGGGCTTCATGCTTGCAAAACAGGCACTCTACAATTTAAGCCACACCTCAGTCCATTTTGCTCTAGTTTGGAGACAGAGTTTCGAGAACTAGCCTCGAACCTCTATCCTCCTCATCTCAGTTTCCCCAGTAGCTAGGATTATAGGCGTGAGCCACCAGCCCCCTGCTGGGTGTTTCATTAGAAGTGGCTTTTGGTAATTGACAGATTTGATTGATAGGGGCTAGCTATATAACATTTGGAGCATGGAGTATGTGCTTACATAGAATTCCTTCTTTTATATTGTATGCATAAGATGCAATCACTATTCATGAGACTGTAATTAGGAAATTTGGGTCAAAATGTTACTTTGGGTCTGGTTATTTTCTTTGTGTGCATGGCCCAGTTTGGGTATGTCCCTTGTAGTTCAGCATCCTACTCACTAGGGATGTTGTGGTTAGTAACTGCTGTAGCTTTTACCACAAAAGGGGCGTTTTGGGATGGAGCTGGGCCACCTGCTTCTTGGAAGACAACTTGCAAAGTGTGTGGGGTGTGGGGGGCGGTGTACCTACTCCTTGTTAGGTGGACGCGGATGGGAAGGCCAAATTGGAGCCAAATAATAAAGCAAATAAGCTTTAAGCAGGCTTTATTGAGAGCGCACTCCCCGGCGAAGTTCACCTTCCCCAAAGAGCAGGGCCGCAGAAGGCAACCTGGAGAAATGGCAGCCCAGTTTTTATAGCCTGGATGAAATCAAGCGCTTAAGGTATTATGGGGCGTTGGGATAGGTCGAGGTTTGCTGGGGCGGAGCTCAGGGTAATATGGATCTGTAGGATAGGTCAGGACCTATTGCCCGTCAGCAGGAGTTGCCATGGTAACTAGAGGGGCCAAGGAAGGCAAAACGGAAGTCTGCCACGTGCTGGAATTGCCATGGTAACCATGAAAGTAAGGAGGGGGTGGAGTGAAAAGTTGAGCGGAGAGTCCCTGATCGCCATGGGGTGGCTGCCCACCGGCCAGACACTCCTCATGACCTGGATTGCATACTTTCCCTAAACTTCCTGCCTCAGCACTGCCCAAAAAAGTGACTTTAAAATAGAACGCAATCATCTTACTAATCATGGCCGTGTCCTCTAGGAGCCAAAGTCCAGAGGTGCACCTACCTCAGGATGAGCAGAGCTTTGCACTCTTTGCACTCTTGGCATTACTGAGTCAGATCACTGACTTCCTCACTCTCCCCAACTAGCTTTCTGGTTTTTCCTCTGCTTTTCTCATGTTGCCCTCGGTAATTGCTGATGTTGGGGGTGGAGGCTGTGCTGCCTCCTCTTCCAAGCAGCTACCTCCCTGTCACATTATACTCAGGGATTGTGGATGGCCACTATCAAGGAGTAGAAGTCTAAATTTTCACAGCAGGTGATGTCAGCATGCTCCTGTAAAATGCCAGGCGCTGCCTGTACTGACAGTTATTTGTGGGAACACTGGGCTCTTCCTAAGAGAATTCCCTGGATGTTCAGTTTGTGAAATTCAGTGTTTTCCTTTGTGTACAGATTATTCTCACTGGGGCCTGTCATGGGATGGATTAGCTTCTCCTAGGCAGGATTCTCACAAACTCATCATCATCCGTAGGTCTAGTGGCTTCTACATTCTGCCACCTCCATTTATGACACAAACTTAAAAACAGCCATGACACACAGGTCCAGAGGAGACCTGGCCCTATTAACTGCAGTCCCCAGAGTGGGCTGTTCTCATACCTGGTGCCTGGCCCATACTCTCTCAGGGCCTGGTAATTCCCTGACTCTCTTACTAGTTTTCCTGATTTTTTTTTTTTTTTTTTTTGGTGGTACTGGGTTTGAACTCAGGTCCTCACACTTACCAGGCAGGCACTCTACCACTTGAGCCACTCTACCAGCCCTCTTACTAGTTTTTCTATCCTCTTGACAGCTCCCCATTAGTCCAGCCCCTGCCCATACCCTCACTCTCTCTGTCTTCTTCATTCTTAGAGCTCAACTGTGCAATGTTCACCTCCCCATAACATCCCCTGAGCTGATCACATATCCTCAGATAGTCCCTGCAGCCCTGTTCCTCAGTAACACATGTGGGTTCTCTCCAGCGGATGTAGGCACATGAGGAACTCCCCCCAGCACATGGTCAGTAACCATGGATTGACATAGTTGAGTTTTCCTGCCCTGGGCTGGACTCTCACCAATCTATTCATTCTTCCACAGGATTGTCTCATTTATAGTCCATGAGTTTACCCAACTGGAGTGCAATAAAAAGCCCTGATTGATGGGCTAGGTAGAGTTGAAATCAGGGATGGTGCAAGAGGTCTGAAGAGGTTGACATGGAGATTCAAAGCTGAGGATAAAAGTGTCCTAATCTATACTTCTGGTGTCTAAGTGCCTTTATCACGAGCCTTGTGACTTTTCAATCTTCCAGATTCCCTATTGCACAGTCACCTTCACACCAATAGCCCTGATTCTAGTACCCTGCCTTTCCCCCACCTGTCTTCCATGGCTTACTCCCTCTTCTCCCCTCTTACTGCCTAGTTCTAAGACACTGGGCACTCCTTCACATGTCATAGGATGAAACACATCTGTAAATGGTTACTGAAAACCTGTTCTTCTGTGAGGACTTATTCCCTCTTGTGGGCCAGGGCAGACTCATGGAGGGTTCAAGGCCTGAGGCTCGTAGAGGCTAAGTGCTTGCTCTGGGTCATGTAGCCAGTGGAAGGCAGTGCCACAGTTTGATCCCAGGTAGTATGAAACTGGAGTTCCCACTCTTAACCACTTTTCTGGAGGTACATTGGAGTGTCACTGTTTGCCCAGCATTGCCTCGTGGGACTTTTGGTTTTTTTCCCACTTTGGATTTCAGGCTTAAGTGCTTCCTTCAAGACAGCAGGGTCAGGGGATGAGAAAATGGAGAGGACAAGGTAACCCTGAGCTACAGGACATATATCTGGGAAAAGACAGTACTATGGACTAAATTGTACCCTCTCCTAAATTCATCTGGAAATCTGAAACCCCCAGTGTGGTTGTATTTGGAGTACAAGAGTAGGTAAGGTCATATGAAGTCATAAGACTGTAGCCCTGGCCAGCCACCGGTGGCTTACGCCTGTAATCCTAGCTACTCAGGAGACAGAGATCAGGATGATTGTGGTTTGAAGCCTGGGCAAATAGTTCTGCAAGACCCTATCTCAAAAAAACCCTTTATAAAAAAGGACTGGTGGAGTAGGTCATGGTGAAGGCCCTGAGGTCAAGCCCCAGTACCACAAAAACAAACAAACAAAAAACCTGTAGCCCTGGCCTAATGAAATTGGCAACCTTTTCATCAAAGATCACTCTTTCCTACCCCATGTGAGTACACAGGAAGGAAGCTGCTATTTGCAAGCCAAGAAGGCCCTCACTAGGAGCCAAACTGGCTGGATCTGCTAGGTTCCAGAAAGATGAGAAAGTAAATTTCTGTTACTTACACCACCTACCCTATGGTATTTAATTATGGCAGCCCAAGCACACTAAGACAGATGGTCAGAGGAGAGTGAAATTTGGGCTGCTGCCACAGAAGGGTACCTGTCGGAATCTGGGAGATGTTCACAGAAAGACTGTGGGGTGTGAACAGAAGAGACGTATCCACACAGCCATTATGTATCAGCTCAGTAACAGCAGTGATACTGAGTCCTTCATTCAATGGCTGAAAGTTGACATTACCTTCCCTATTTCATATATTAGAAAATGAACACAGAAAGGTGAGTTTTGTATCCCAGGTCACACTGGAACCCAGGTCAGTACCACCCCAAGTTTTGATCCCTCTGCCTCAGTGTTACATCATGCATCCAGCAAGATGCATGGCTACATTTTATGAAAGTCCAGTGGCTTCTGCTTCTGGTAAACTGAATTCTCTGTATTTACCTCTGTTTTGGAGGTTTGTTTTTGTTTTTGTTTTTTCAGTTTGGGAGGTAGTAGTTTGCTCTATCACCTCAATTTCCTTATGGATCTAAGAAGAGTTATTTCCAGTTCAGCTTTTTCCTTACTACAAAGACAAAATGATTACTTCCAAGCTGTTTGCATGTTGAAATAGAAACTGGAAGTCCCTGGTTCATTTTTGAAAATAGCTTTATTGAAGCATAACATACACAACAAAATTCAAAATTCACCAATTCTAAGTGTGTAACTCAATGAGTTTGAACTACACACTGTCACTGGTGTACTTCCTTTACTAGAATTCAAACAAGCAAAATCTTAAAAATCTTAAAGTATTCCATCTTTTGTTCCTGTATTCCTTCACTCACCTAATGCTTTTAAAATTTATCTCCATGATTGCCTGTGTCAGTAAGTTAACACTCACTAGGATTCCATTATATGATGTACCACAATGTTTATCCATCCTCCTTAATGAGACTTGGGTCATTTCTCCTTTCTGGTTATTTTACATAAAGTTACACTGACCTTGTCTGTCTCCTCTGGACTACAGTAGGACTCCTGGGAGGAGAGGGACAGGACAGGCCTGGTTCTGAAGATAACTGGCAGCCACAGGTCTCCAGCTCCAGTGTCTTTTTTTGGGATGACCCCTCTGGCTTTCACAAGGAGACATCACCTTGAACAGGGCAGCATCAGCATAGAGAGCCTGCCTTGAAAGCACAAAGCCCTGAGTTTAAACACCAGTATCACCACAAAAAAAAAAAAAAAAAGCCATGAAAGGAGAGATGCATTTGGCACTACAGCAATTCCATGCCAGGGGCAGGGGAGTGGGGGTACGGTGGTGGAGTGGCTCAAGTAGTACAAGTAGCAGAATAGTAGAGTGCCTGCCTAGCACTCTACTACTGACTTCAAACCCCAGTCCCACCAAAAAAAAAAAAAAAGAAAGAAAAAGAAAGATTGAGTGTGGTGTACACAGCTGTAATCCCGTACTCAGGAGGCTGAAGCAGGAGGATTGCAAGTTTGAGGTCAGTGTGGACTACATAGTAAGACCCTGTCTTAAAAAAAAGGTTATATCAGCCCAAAAGGAAAGCAGTAGACAAAATAAGCAAGATAAGGATCTCTCTACTAAAAGTGAGAGCTGATACTGTGACTACCTGAGCCCTCAAGAGACAGACATGGACAGATCCGGAGATCCTGAAATGCAGAGAATGAAGCTTTAGTCTTGACAGATACCATCATGGACACAGATCCCAACATGGACATACCTTCAGGCATTTATTACAGTTACCAGTGTACATTTGTGTGATTTTTTTTTTTTTAGAAATGCTTGTTTCTACTTGTGTTTTACAGGTATCTTATAGCCAGGGACAAATGATGCCTGGTCTCTAGCTTCAGAGGCAGGTCTCCTGGGCAGGTCCTAGAGATAACCTCCTCCCAACATTGCTGAGGACTACAGGAAACCACCTAATTCCTAATGTTTTGGGAGGAATGTTATGACAAATGTAAGTTGTCACAACTACTGTGGTTCCTCAGGCTGACACCAGGCTCAACATGTTATCCTAACATCCAGGCCATAAGCTTCAGCTCACCAAACTCTTCACTCTCTACGGAGATCATGGTCAGCAATGCAAATGAAACCAAATCTGAATTTTGGCTGCTTCCTACCTTTCTGCTTCCTATCTAAGGTCAAGACTCCCACAAAGACTCTGAATTCAGGCCAGCAGAGCACAATTCTATTTTCTATCCATTCCACACCATGAACAGAAATCCCAGAGTCAAAGGTGGATTAAACTGTTTGTCACACAATCCATGGGCAGTTCCTGCGATGGAGGAGTTGGAGACTCAGTGTCTGTTATAAGGTCATCATATATAAAGTCAACTATGTCCATGAAGAAAGGCTTCCCTGGAAGCCTGAGAAGCAGTTTAGGTCTTCCTGGCCAGTGAGGAGACAATGAGGACCCCTCATGATTCAAGATTCTAGGAAATGATACTTTTTTTCTTTTTGGCAGTTCTAGAGGTTTGAACTCATGGCCTTGTGCTTGCTAAGCAAGCACTCTACTTTTAGCTCTCTAAGAGTTTTTTGTTGTTGTTGTTTTGTTTTTTTTCTAAGAGTTGACAGAGGAAGCCCCAATGTCTTCCTTCCTTCCTGGGCACAATAGATGACAGATACTTTCTGTGGCAGCCATTAGAGATTACATGGCTTCTACCAAAGGCAGTAACAGTGATATGATAATGCCACAGGCCCAGGACAGATCAGAAAGTACAACATAACTTTTAGGAATTTTCCACATACCTGGTACTCACAAGCAGTCTCCCCAGCAGGACTGGTGATATATTCAAGTATGGTCTGCAGAACTCTAAGATGGCCCCCATTCCTCCATCCTAAACCCTGAGACTGTGAATATGATGGATTTTATTCTTATGCTTAGGTTATGTTATATGGCACTCCTGGCCTTAAAAAAGGAAGATTATCCAGGTGAACCTGATGTGATCACATGGGCCTCCAGAAGCAGACATTCCTCAGTTGTCCCAGGAGAGAAAGCCAGTGCTCCAAACAGTGAAAGGGACTCTGTGCACTAGCTGGCTCAAAGGTAGAAGGGCCCATGTGTCATCTAGGAGCTGAGTGTTCCTCTGCTGAAAGAGGCACCAATCCCACAACAGCAAAAAAAAAAAAAAAAAAAAATGAATTCTGTCAACAAAAAGAATGAGCTTGTCCATGGCTTGTAACCTAATGTTTTATACTTCACTAAATTGTGATGATTAGAAACTTCATGTACAGTTTGTGGAAATCATTGAATTAAACATAAAAAAATTACAGAAAAAGGAAAAAGGAAGGAATGGAGAGAGGAAAGGGAGGGAGGGAAGGAGGAAGAGAGAGAGGGAGAGAGAGCTTGAAATGGATTTTTCTAGTCCAGCAGGCTCATTTTGGTATTAGCAGAGAACTTAGCCATGCTGTGCCAGAATTCTGACTCTAGAACTGAATTAGGAAATAGGTATTTGGTGATTGTGATCATTTGTTAGGCAGCAAGAGAAAACTAATACCACATGGTTAAACTCCTGTATGCCTCCCAAAGGCAATCTTCTCTCTGGTGTGACTTGAACAAGGTGACAGCCAAGGCTCAAGTTTTTCTCATATTCATTGTACTCCTAAGACCTTTCACCAGTATGAATTTCCTGGTGCTGACAGCAGGCAGATCTTTAACTGAAGATGTTCATAAGGCCTTTCTCCAAGGGTAAATTTCCTGGTGAGAAATAAGACAGGAGCTTCGACTGGTCTTCTCACATTGGATGATTTTCTATAGCACAAAAACTTGCAGTAGAACAAGTTTGGCACTTTGGTGGAAAGGTTTTCCACATTTACTACACTAAGTCCTTTTTTGGATTGTGAACTTTCTGGGTGCTAAATGAGGTTTAAGGTATATCCAAAGGCTTTTCAACATTCATTATATTCTTAAGACCTTTTTCTAGTGTGAGGTTGGTGTTGAACAGCTTAGCGGTGCAGCTAAAAGCCCTTAGATGTGTGTTGCACATACAGGCCTTTCTATGTTGAGAAATTTCTGGTGCCAAACAAGTGTGGTTTATCTTTTTTTTTTTTTTCAAAAATATGGAACGCTTCACAAATTTGCATGTCATCCTTGCGCAGGGGCCATGCTAATCTTCTCTGTATCGTTCCAATTTTAGTATATGTGCTGCCGAAGTGAGCACTATCTGTCTTTTTGTTGTTGTTGTTGTACTGAGATTTGCTTTCAGAGCCTCATGCTTCCTAGGCAGATACTCTACCATTTGAGCCACTTTGCCAGCCCTTTTTGGGGATGCATTTTTTTGAGATAGGGTCTCATGAACTATTTACCAGGAGCTGGCTTTGAACGGAGATCCTCCTGATCTCTGGCTCCTAAGCAGCTAGGATTACAGGCTTGAGTCACCAGCACCTGGCTAAGTGTGGATATCTTGAGGAAGGCTTTCTCAGTGAGGGCACTCTCATGTTCCTTCTCCCACAGGAATTTTCTGGTGCTGACTGAGACAGGAGATCCTGCTGTAGGTTTTCCCATATTCAATGCACTCACAGGGCCTTGCTCCAGTGTGAGATCTCTGGTGTCAAATGAGGTTAGAGTTTTGGCTAAAGAATTTCCCACATTCAGTGCATTTATAGAGCTTTTCCCAAGTGTGAACTTTCCAGTGCCGAATGAGGGTAGATGCGAGGCTGAAGGCTTTCCCACATTTGCTGCACTTATCCAGCCTTTCCCCTGTATGAATTCTTTGGTGCTGAGTAACTGTGGATTTGTGTTTGAATGCTTCCCACATTTGCCGCACTTGTAATGTTTTGTTTCAGTGTGAATATTCTGATGTGTGCTCAGTTTAGATGGAACACTGAAGGCCTTCCCACACTCCTTACACACATGGGATGTTTCTCCAGTGGGAATTCTTTTCTGAGTAGTAAGACCTGACTTCTCCTTAAAGGCATTTCCACCTGTTAAGCACCTATAGTGTTTCTCTCCATTGTACAGCTTCAGGTGTTTGAGAAGAGCGGACTCTTCAAAAAGGAGTTCCCACAGTTGACGCAGTTAGACTTCTGGCTGATGAGATTCCCTGGGTGCCACAAAAGGTTGGAGCTAGAAGAGAAGGTCCCCAGGGTACTCCTCTGTAGCTTCTCTGCTCTGTGAGCAGCCCGTTGCTGGACAAAGCCCCAGCTGGCTAGGAAGTCCTTACCACACTCCCCATATACCAAGGGCTGTTCTGATGGGTGGGCCCAGCAGCTCTTCACCTGTTCTGGAGGGTCCTCGCCATCTTCTTCTCCACACAGACAACCTGCAAAGGGAAGTGTTAACTGAGTACTGGGTTGGAGGAGGAGGTGCCTTTATCACAAGTACACATCAGACACATGCAGAAAGGACTTCATGGTATTGCTGGAATGTAGGTATAGGGTCCAGCCAGATGGAATGTGGGGGACCTTAACAGAAGTGATGATGTAAAAACAGAGCAGAGAATCGGGGTCTGCAAGTCACTCCTCTTCTGCCAGCCAGGCATTAAGGCATATGTGTTCTTTGAGAAAATGGCTGACAGCATGTGTGTGCATGACTCACATCCAGCATGGAGCAGGTCAGTTAGGCTGCTCTACTCAGACGCTGAGCTAGATATGGGTGTACTGACTCTCAGCTCCACACTCACCTATTTTACTCTATACAAATGGATCTAGAGGCTTGGTGCAATGGTCATATCTATACTGCCAGCCACTTGGGAGATGGCGATCAGAGGGATTGCAGCTCAAAGCCACTCTGGGCAAAAAGTAAGACCCATCTCAACAAACAAACCAGGTATGGTGGTGTACATCTATAATTCCAGCTAGGAGGATTGCAGTTTGAAGCCAGCCCAGGCAAAAAGTGTGAGACCCTATTTGGAAAATAACCTAAAGCAAAAGGTGTGGCTTAAATGGTAGAGCCACTGCCTAGCAAGTGTGAGGCCCTGAGTTCAAACCCCAGTACCACAAAAAAAAAAAAAAGGTCACTGGTTATTTAAGAATGAGTGAAACTAACTCAAAGTGGAAGTATCTGGTTGGACCCAGATGAAAATGAATTCCCAAATCACCCAGAGCCTATCTTACCAGCAGAAGAAGCTTCCCTTCCATTATCTAGGGAAACGACCCTTCCTCTGCTTGAAAACTGGTAATAACCTCACCTGGGTCAGTTCACTTTCTCCACACACCCTCTTGCTAGTGCTGCCGGGTTAAATCTCAGCCTGCTCCATGGGGGAAGTTACACACTGTAACTCAGGAGAAAATGGCTTCCATGCAAAAGAATTTCAAAACTTTGTCAATTTATCCATCATTAGAAACCTGGGGAAAATGTATAGATGCTAAGGTTAAGGAGGGTGGAATTTAACAAATTGGGCTGAATTTTTGTGTATTTTATATTACAATTTTGATTTGATGTTTTAGCTCAAACAGTTGGAGATGGCTTAACAAATGAAACCTGGACTCAGTGGTGGCCTGAGGCTAATGAAATGGAGACCAGACCAACCATGGAATGAGGTGGAAGAGGAACAGGTCTGTTGGAGTGGTTTTATTATAATGAGAACTGCATTCCTGTGTAGGTGAAACAATGTCTGCACTTTAATCCCCAAAACATGTAAATACTTTTCACACATGGAAAAATGATTCTGGAGATGGAATTAAGGTTGCTAATCAGCTGACCTCACAACAGAGAGAATATCCTGGATTATCCAGGCCTTACATAATCATAATGGACCATTAAAAACAGAAGAGGAGCTGGGTGCCGGTGGCTCACACCTGTAATCCTAGCTACTCAGGAGACAGAGATGAGTAGGATTGTGGTTCAAAGCCTGGGAAAATTGTCCACAAAACCTTACCTCAAAAATACCCAATGCAAAACAGGGCTGGCAGAGTGGCTCAAGTGGTAGAGCACCTGCCTAGCAAGCATGAGGCCCCGATTTCAAGCCCCAGTAACACTAAAAAAAAGAGTGAAGACCAAATGTGCTCCATTGTACCCATTCGGCCCAGAGGTCCACCTTGTGATTATTTCCCCAGTTGTTAAGTATAGGGTTGGAATAAACATACTCAATTACTGGCAGAATCTCTACACCACCATGCTGACCCACTGGATAAGGGTCACCATTCAAGGACTAAATGGAAGCCTTGGAATTTCCATTTTCTGCTAAGAGAGTAAACTAGAAACAGTAACACATCACTGGAAGAAAGATTTGAAAGAAGCAGAGGTGATTGTACCTATCATGTTTTCATTTAACTCTTTTAGTTAAACCAGTGCAAAAGTTATGTTGATCTTGGAGAATGACTGTGGACCACAGTAAATTTAATCCTGAGGTGACTCCAATTATGGCTGCTGTTCCAGTGATAGCCTCCTTACTATAACAAAGTAACAGCCCATATAGCCACCGAACTGGAGGTGCCTCTTCCTCCCTTCCTCCACACTAGTCTGAAAGATCACCAGAAACCATTTATTTTTACCCAGCCAGATCAAGAGTCTGGAAATACATCAATTCTGCTGTCTGCTATCTATAACACACATAATCCAGAGATCTTGAATTTTTTTTTTTTTTTTGGCAGTATTTGGGTTTGAACTCAAGACTTCAAGCTTCCCAGGCAGGTGCTCTACCACTTGAGCCATGTCCCCAACTCCCAGCCTTGTTTTTTTTTTTTTTTTTTTTTTGTGGTACAGGGACTTGAATTCAGGGCCTACACCTTAAGCCACTCCACCAACCCTTTTTGTGTTAGATATTTTTTTAAGATAGGGTTTCACAAACTTATTTGCCTGGTCTGGCTTCAAACCTTGATCCTCCTGATCTCTGTCTCCTCAGTAGCTAGGATTGCAGGTGTGAGTCACTGGCACCTGGCTTGTTTTTTTCTGATATAGGATCTTGCTAATTTTGCTTGATTCTCCTATCTATACCTCCCAAGCAGCTAGGATTACAGTCATATACCACCATACCTGGGACCTTGATCACCTTGACATTCCATAAATGTCACATTGGTTCACTTTATTGATGATATTATTATGCAGAATGGGTCTGATGAGCAAGAAGTAGCAAGTACTTTAGATACCTTGGCAGACGAGAGGATGGGAGAGGAAACCTACAAAAATTCATGGCCAAGAGCTAGTGGCTCACGCCTGTAATCCTAACTACTCAGGAGGCAGAGATCAGGAGGATCATGGTTCAAAGCTAGCTTGAGCAAATAGTCCCAGAGACCCATGTAAAAAAACCCATCACAAAAAAAGGCTGGTGGGTTGGCTCTAGGTGTAGACCCTGAGTTCAAAACCCAGTACCTCAAAAAAAAAAAAAAAATTCATAGGCACCTCAGTAAAACTCTTGGAGATTCAATAGCCTCATTCTAATGAAAACAATCCACTTTTTTTTTTTTGGTGGAACTGGGGTTTGAACTCAGGGCCTCATACTTGCTAGGCAGGCACTCTGCCACTTGAGCCACTCTACCAGCCCCACAATGAAACAAGGACAACAGTTGGTAGGCCTTTCTGGACTTTGCAGACAACATATATAACATGTGAGTCTACTTTGAACTAGCTTCCTATTTTGAGTAGGAACAGAAAGAAGACTCTAAAACAAGTTCAAGCTGCTCTACAGCCAGATTATGATCCAGCACATTTGATGACATGTGGAGATGTTTGTGGCAAATACGGATACTGTACAGAGCCTTTGTCAAATAGCAAACAATCACAGCATAGATGTCTAGGATTTAGGAGCAAGTCTACATCTTCTATAACTATTCTACTCTGGAAAGTTTGTATGTTGATACTAGGCCTTTGGAAGCTAACGAATACCTAACCTTGAGCTGTGAGGTGAACATGTCACCTGAATGCCTAACCATGGGATACCAGAGGACCATCATGAACTAGGTATTATCTGACCCACATAGCCATGGGTCAGCTGGGCATGTGTAACAATCTAAAATGCTATAGTAGAGATTAAGCTTGGACTAAGACATGGCAAACCCTGAATAAAGACTTGTGGAGGGGCTGGGGAGATTGCTAATTAGTAGAGTACTTGCCTAGCAATTCCCAGTACCACAAAGAGAAAAAAAAAAAAAAAAAAAAAAGACTTGTGGAAGAAGAGGGAAACTTCGAAGTGCACAGGGGCAATGACTTCAACCAAGCAGGGACAGGTTGACTGTGAAAGACCTGGCACCCAAGTCCTACCCTATAAAAAGCCTTAAGGCAACAGGTATTGGGGTTGTTCACAGGGCTCCTCAAAAGGAAGCAAGGAGATTGCACATATCCCAGGCCCAGCACCTTCTGCATCAACCACAGAGAACCTGGAAAGGAAGTATCTCTGTGGTCCAGCTTTGGGGTGTCAGAACATCCATGGGGAAAAGACAGAGGTGATCAGTGTGCTGGGGGAAGGCATGAGGAACTTACCCAGTGAATTAATGAGCTCAAAGTTCTCCATCATCACATCACAGTACAGGTGCTTTTGGGCCACATTAAAGAGCTTCCATTCATCCTGGGAGAAGTGTACTGCCACATCCTCAAATGTCATCTGACCCTGCAATGGTGGGTTCCACTGATCCTTGAGGTCAATGAGTGGGAAGAAAAGACAAAACATAAGCAAATGGACATATCCAGGCTCTTGACCTAGAAGGTCACATATACCACTTATATCCTACTTCCCCAGAGGTCCAAACCACCTCCCACACACAGCCAGATACCACCTTTCCCCCTAGAGTTCTACACTAGATGGGATACCAGGGTCTGGTTGCCATTGGTGCCTCTCTTCTAAATTTACTATTGGCCACTGTATCCAACCACAATAGCAAGCAGGTGACCAGATGGACACCATACACATTCCATTCTGGTCCAAGCATATAGGCCCTACCCTCTTCTATCAGCCAATTCCTTCAGTGCTGTGTCAGCTAGATCATCACCTCTCAGATGCAACCACACCTACACTAACCTTTCTCCCTAACCCTGGAGTACTGGGGCTCCAGGGCCCTATTGTTTGTCTACCACCTCTCAGGCACAAAACTTGTATTCTGCATGTTCACAAACTTTCCCCACCCAGCACAATCTCAGAAGTTACCAACTTAGGCATCCCCTGGCTTCCTCTGTGCTACTCTGTATATAATGTTCCCAAAAATGTCTGGTATGAACAACATGACCCCATCCTACCTACACCTCCAGTGGTCCCACTGTCAAAGGCATCTCCCAATCCTGCATTGAAGACCTCCCCATCTGGCCCTGCTCCTAGCTTCAAAACTTAGCCACTAAAAAATACACAAGGATCTCAGAAACTCCAGGACCTCCTCTCCTCTATCTTTGCCTTTGCACAAGTTGAACCCTCAACTGTTACAAATTTTCTCTTTCCTTCTGAGACACATTAAGAGTCTAACTCACTGGCCAATACCCTGGACTTTGGTTCCTGCCTGTCTCCTAAATAACTTCATTTGTCACTGACTCTGTAACCCTGAGTCAAAATCCATACCTCTCAGAGAGAGCAGACACAAAATTACACAGAAGAGAGAATAAACCCAGTCCCAGATCTCACTGTCACTCTACCTCCGACAGAGTATCACAGTCATGTCACAGTCTCCATCCCAGGTCTACTCACCACAGAGAGGCTTTGGTCCCTTGACACCATCCCCTTCTGCATCCCTCTCCTGACAAGGGCCCACCCCTCCATGACAGCCTCAGTGATAACAGCACCTTACTGTTTTAAAAACAAGACACCTAGTCCTCACCCTCCAGCATCTCCTCTCCCAGACCCTCAGGGCATTCATCACCATCCTGAATCTAACACTTAAGTGCATTCTGGTCCACACACCGGATCTAGCCGTCTGGATGTTTTCATTCGGGAGCTCTGTGATCCCATGCCCACTCAGTGCCGACACTCAGCGGTCTCCAAGACATCCCAACTCTGGATCTTCCTCCTGAAACTTAAAAAGAATGCACATTAGCAAGTGCCAGGGCTCAAGCAGCCGTCCACGGAGGCACAGGAACCACGTGGGTGAAGGTGTCTGGCACTTGTGCCATCTGCTGCCATCCTGCGGCGAGAGCCTGTGTCTGCTCACCACCGCGGGGTCCATCAGACCGCCTGGGGCTCAGCCGGGGGCCCTGCACTGGCGCTGGGGGTTGTGGCCGCCGGCTGAGATGCTCGCTCCGGGCCTCCGTGTCCGCATGTAAGACCCGTACAGGGCCCAGGATGCCGCAACCGCGGTCCGCGTGGCTGTCATGAGTTCAGGGCAACAGCGCCAGTAAGCTCCCAGAGATCAGCCCTGCTTGGCCTTGGAAAACGCCAGGCGAGAACTACACTACCCATAAGTCCGTTCGCCGCCACGAACCCACTCTGGCCAATAACGGCCCAAAGATGGCGTTTCCAGCGGGCTCCGGAGGTGGGACTTCTGGCGACGTCTTCCGGCAGTTCTTCCGCAGTTCGCGGTGTTCTCCGCCAGCGGGGGGTCTGAGTTGCTGAGCGTCGTTTCTAGTGCCCTTGGACATTCCGTGACCTCGGCGAAGGTCCCTCCCTGAGCCATGGTGTCCCTGGCCGTAGGTAGGCGGTCCCCACCAGGTCGCCCCGCAAGGGGGGGTGGCTGGCCAGGCCTTCGTCAAAGCTGTCTGTATAGGCGGGGTGCTGGTGGTTCACACCCGTAATCCTAGCTACTCAAGAGGCAGACAGAGGTCAGGAGGATCGCGGTTTGAAGCCAGCCCGGGGAAATAGTTCCCGATACCCTATCTCAAAAAAAAAAAAAAAAAAAATCACACAATGCGAGTCAACTCCTTGTACAGCTATCCTTATCTCAACTGGCAAAAATTCTTGTTCCTTCCTATTATTGCTTATACTCTCTCTTCAACAAAACTAGGGATAAGGGCAAAAGAGTTTCTGCCTGGTAGTGAGGGATTAAGGGGGGTAAGAGAGGGGGCGGGGGGAAGGGGGGAGAAATGACCTAAACATTGGATGCACATATGAATATAATTAAAAAAGAAAAAAGAAAAAAAAATCACAAAAAAGGGCTGCTGGAGTGGCTCAAGGTGTAGGCTCTGAGTTCAAACCTCAGTACCAAAAAAAAAAAAAAAAGGTGTCGATGTCTATGGCCATCCCAGATTCACCACCACCTTGGCCTTAATATCCAGTCAATGGAACTGGAGACCAAGCCTTAGGAAAGCCATCGCTGCCGGAGTTTAATAACCAGCTAGGGATCAGTAGCCAGGGACTTCCGCAGGATTAGGTGTCAGGAAAGATAACAGTTGGAGATGGGCAGAGATGTGGATGGTGTTCCTAGTTGAATCTCATAGGCATCATTTAATTCCCCCCAAGAATGATGTGAGACAGCATGACAGTGTTGCCAACCATTGAAGCCCACTCCAGCCCAGGCAGGTTCAGGGTTTTTATCCACCTTCTTTCACCCTGCCAGCACTGCCCCATTGGTTACTTTGAATCCCACAGATGGCTGCAGAAAAGGTTCTCAGTCCAGTTCTCAATCACTAGGATGCTTCCTGGGCAAAGGTCCTGGGAAAGAGCTATTTTAATGGAACCACTTTCTACTGTCCCTCAACACCATTCTTCTTCCACCCTCAACATTTGGGTCCTGGATATGGGTAGGGACAAAGCCACACCATTATTCTCCTTTTTCTCTTCCTTGGCTCTGATATTTTCCCCACTTGGTGCCACCATGGCTGGCACTAGCTTCTCCCTTGCACATTGCCCCGCCTCACCCCAAGAAGATTGACAGAGTTGCCTCCCTGGGGATTCAACCTGAAGTAGAAGCCTGGGACCCTATGTCAATAAATCAGGCCCCAAGAGAGCTGTTCAGCTAAAGAAAACAGAGAACCTTGCTGGTGGCCATAATTTAGGTGGCCTCAATGAGTCTTTGGTATCATACTCTCGGTAGTCCCTTACCATAAAACCAGTAGTATTTTGGGAAGAGGATAGTGGGTGGCTTTTGAGGCTAGGTCACAAGAGGCATTGTGGCTTCTTTTGTTCTCTATTGACTAATTTACTCTGAGGGAAACCAGTTGGCATATGCTGAGCACACTCAAGCCTGTGGAGAGGTCCATGGGGTGAGGAACTGAGGCCTCCTGCCAACAGCCATGAGGGTAAGCAGCTCTGAAGTGTATCTTCTACCCGCAGGTAAGGCTTCAGATGTCTGCTTTCCTGGCTGGAAGCTTGATTGCACTTGGGCCAGAACCATCAGCTGAGCTGATCTGAGTTCCTGCCCACATAAACTGTGAGATAATAAATGCATATTGTGTTAGGCTGCCAGGCTTGGGGGTTATTTGTTAGGCAGCGCCAGATAACTAATGCAAGCAAAAAGAAGATCAGGGTCTTCCTCAAGACTGTACTCTTCTTACCACAAACTTGGTGAAGCCACCAACCTGCAAAATAGGCAGCATCTATCAGGCATCTGTGAGGATGCCTTGAGTATCAGAGAAAGTGCTTGAACTGGGTTCCCATTCATAAAAAGAGAAAAGGTGCAATTATGCAATTATGACTAAGTGGAAAGTTCTAAAATGTTTGTACTTCATTGGCAGTAAATCTTCCTACACTCCTGTCAATCTTGGCCACCTCCTCTCCAGCCACTCTCTTATCCTCACTGCAGCCCTCAGAGACAAGCCTGTCTCTGTTTCAAGGCCTGTGCAGCTGCTATTTCCTCAGACTGGAAGACTCTTCCCTAACTTCACCCCTCACCCCTCCTGTCTTTGAGCATCTATATTTCTTCTCCCTGACCCCTCCATATAAATTGGACCCCATTAGTCTTGTTTATATCATTTTGCTTTATTTTCTACAGAGCACAGCCCTGACCTCGAGAATTCTGCCCTAGAACTAGAGCCGGTTGTGGGGGCAGGGGTATTTGTGACTCTCTGGGCAACTTTATGACCCAGCCCATGTCACGGGTGCCTGTTGAGATAAATAATGAGCTGTGTGATGAAATGTGTGCATGTGACAGAGACCGAGAGGCTGTAAGGAGGACTGGTTAGAAGGCAAAAAGCCCAGGCCTATCTTCTATATTTGGATTTCCAGGTACTCCTCAGAATCTAGCATAAACCTGCACCCATAGCCCACCAGTACTTGACCAGGAGCACAGCCTAGTCCTGTGAGCCATGGCCAGATGTACCCCTCCCACTTTCTAAGTGAACACTGAGTTTCAAGGAACCAAGAACAAAGCCCACCATGAATCAATCCAAGTAGAACCAAGCATTCACACTGACATCTCTCTAGAGTCCACACCCCTGGTTGAGTTGGCCCCACTAGCCAGGAAGAAAATCCATACATTGCTTCTTCTTCAAATGTGGATGTTTGCATAGTATATGACTAAATTAAATACATATTTTTTTCTTTTTCTTTTTTTTTCAAGACAAGGTCTTGCTGTATAGCCCAGGCTGGCTTGGAACTCACTATGTAGCCAAGGCTGGACATGAATGTCTGATCCTTCTCCCTCAGCCTCCCAAGTGCTGGGATTACAGGCATGTACCACTATGCCCAACTTCTATTGATAAAAAATAACTTCTGTTCATATAAAATGGTAAAAAAAAAAATGTTTAGCTGGTAGAGTGACTTAAATAGGAGAGTACCTGCCCAGCAAGCGTGAGGCCCTGAGTTCAACCCCCAGGACCACCACACACACACACACACACACACACACACAAAATATAAACTGTCTTATGGGCTGGGGGCATGGAGGTACCCTAGTACCTCCAAAAGAAAAATAAAAGTTTTTTAAAATGTCTAGCTGGTTCAGTGGAGTGTGCCTATATTCCAAGCTACTTGGGAGGTTGAAGCAGGTGAAGGGCTTGAGCCCAGAAATTCCAGGCAAAACTGGGCAACATAGGGAGACCTCATCTCTTTAAAAAAAATAATAAAATGCCAGACACTGGTGGCTCACACCTGTAATCCTAGCTATTCAGGAGGCAGAGATCAGATTGATCAAAGTTTGAAGCCCACCCGGGCAAATACTTTGAGAGACTGTATCTTGAAAAAAACCCTTCACAAAAAGGGCTGATGGAGTGGCTCAAGGTGTAGACCCTGAGTTCAAGCCCCAGTACCACAAAAAAGAAAAAAAATTTCCATCCAGACTAGGCAAATCCACAGACACAGAAAATAGATTAATGGTTGCCAGGGATTAAGGGGAGGGAGGAATAGGGTGTGATTACTAATGTGTATGAAGTTTCTTGGATTCAACTCAGGGCCTTGTGCATGGTAGGCAAGCACTCTACAACTGAACTACTTCCCCAGCCCTCCCTCCTTTTTGGGAGAGTACTGAAGTTTGAGCTCAGTACCTGTGTGTGTTAGGTAGGTGTTGTACCACTGACCTGTGATCACATGTGCCCCTTTCCTTTTGTTAGGGCATTTGGTGTCTTGATCCTTTTCTCCTTGTTCAAAGACTATGACTCAGAGATTGAAGGAAATAAGGTGGAAGAGGGAACTGTGGATTCGGGACCAGAGAAGAAGTAAGAACTGAGGCAGCCAGAGCAGGCAGATGAGGTGAGATAGAATTTTTGCAGAAATCTCCCTGGAACTAGGTTCGAATCCACTCTCTGCCCTGCTGGTCAGCTTCAGTTTCCCCATCTGTTAGTCTGGACATTGCTTCTCTTAGAATCCAGCGTGGCCCTCTTCGCTTCTAGTCCCTTGGCATGACCACAAGAGGATTCCCAGTGGTGGGGGAAGGATCTAATCTGGGCAGGCCTCTCTGACCCTTGCTGAGAAAAGACTGGCAGGTCCTGAAGAATGAAGCCCCTGGCAGTACCCCTGCTATGGGTGAAGGAGGACTGAGGACAGGCTTGGGAAAGATTTGGGGAATGAGGGAACCCCATGAAGATGACAGGTAAGGCAGTGCAGCAAGAATGATGGGTTAGATTCCCTAATGCACTCCTGGTACACAGAAGGTGCTCAATAAATATTTTTGCACAAACAAATTCCTTGAAAGTAGAGGGTTTATTGCTCATTTTACAGAAAAGAGAACCAAAGCCTCATCGGCCGCACATGTGCCAGACACTGAGGCTATCCCCACCTCCTGGGCCTCCAAGCCTCCAAGGCCTGAGAGGAGGAGCAAGCCTGGAACCAAATGTGTGTGTGTGGGGGGGAGGTGTTCAGCAAGTATGGGGTGGGCAGATGAAAGGTGTGGCTGCAGACCCAGGAGGAGATGGGCGGAAGCCTCTGGGCAAAGGTAGGAGTATCCCTTTGCAACCTCTTTGAGAGCAGTGGGCAGGGAGGGAGGCACCTGTAGTAATCTGCAGACAGAAGTTCAGTTACCCGTGGGCTCTGCCACCAACCTCTTTTTAGGAAGAAGAGAATTAGGCCCCAGGTGCTGAGCCAGGAGGGTGTGGATCTGATTAGGACAGAGAGGGAGGGGCCCTCAGCTACTACCTCAACACCTCCTGGCTTGCTTATGTCCACTTGCTTTTGTCAAGCTGTGCCACCTTCCTCAAATGCCAGCTCCTAAATGTGTTTGCAGATACTGCTCTTGGGTTCCCTCCTCCAAGCAGCACTTCTGGACCCTCCTCAGGCAGCAGCTTCTTTCTATCTTCTGTGCACTTCTAACCATGACCCCTTTCTGGCCCATGTAGGCTCGGTCTATTTCTGCCCACCTTCACTTCCCCAGGTTGAGTGGAGGAGGGAAGAGGAAAGGAGGGGGATCTTTGGATGGCTCCCAAAGATATCCAGGTCATAATCTATGGATCCTGTGAACCTGTTGTGTTACATGGCAGGATGGACTTTTCACATGTGATTAAAGATCTTGAGATGGGAGATTATATTAGATTATCTGGGTGCTCCCAAGGTCCTCGAAGTGTCCTTATAAATGAGAGGGGCCAGGTGCCGGTGACTCACACTTGTAATCCTAGCTACTCAGGAGGCAGAGATCAGGACAATTGTGGTTTGAAGCCATCCCAGGCAAATAGTTCTATGAGACCCTATCTTGAAAAACCCTTCACAAAAATAGGGCTGGTGGAGTGGCTCAAGGTGAAGGCTATGAGTTCAAGCCCCAGTACCACAAAAAAAAAGAAAGAAAGAAAAAGAAAATGGGTAACAGGAAGGTCAGATTTCAAGAAGCTATGCTGGGGCTTGTGGAGTGGCTCAAATGGTAGGTGCTAGTGGCTCACACCTGTAAACCTGGCTACTTGAGAGGCAGAGATTAGGAGGATTGAGGTTGGAGGCCAGCTCAGGCAAATAGTTCTAGAGACCCTACCTCGAAAATACCCAACAGACACACAAAAAGGACTGGCAGAGTGGCTCAAGTGATAGAGCGCCTGCTAAGAAAGTCTGAGGCCCTGAGTTCAAACTCCAAGTACCACCAAAAAATTTTAAAAAAATGAAAAGATTCTACACTGCTGGCTTTGAAGGAACCACAAGCCAAGAAAGACAGCTCCAGAAGCTGCAAAAGTTAAGGCAACAGATTCTCACAGTTCAGAAGTAGGACTGTCAGTTCCTCAACTTTAGTACAGTGAAAAGATCTTGTCATGGACTTCTGTAAGACAGTAAACGTGTGTTGTTCTAAGGCATTGAGTTGGGGGTAATTTGTTATGGTAGCTAGAGAAAACTGACATGGACCACCAGTGCTGTTCATGCTGGACAGGGTTCCATCCCTGTGAGGCTGGGCTGTGACTTCTCAGTGACCCAGTATACTGGCCTCAGCCCTGTGAGTGACATTGGCAGCCGGGTGTGGGCCAAAAACTAGTCTGGGAAGACACACCCCTGGACACCCTAATGTTCCTCCTCTGACTTCCCACCTGAAAGCTAGTTCATACCCGAACTAGCTCCCCAGACATCCCTAGGCCCAGGGTGACTGGGAGTTGGCAAGCCCTGAGTGTCACAAGAATTCCTAGGCTGCCTCTCGGTCACTTGTGATGCTGTCACTCCTCAGCAACCATTCAGCATCACTGCATACCCAATGCTGGGGACACACATGTAAACAAATCACACAGGAGCCTCTAGCTGCATAGAAGCCATGTTTCTTTTTGGAAAATGCAAGGCGCCTGCTCCCATACACATTTGGAGTGGGGTGAGGCAGGATGGAGGCTCCAGAAGCCTGTGGTCTGTCAGTGCAGAGGGTAGGGTCACTCTCTACCTCTCTGTGACTAAACCAGGAAGGCTTCTAGGAGGACAGGAACCTGTGAGCCACCTTCCTTGGAGGCTGCAGTACACTAAGAAGGCTCTGGGTTCAATTGGGGCACAGAACCTCAACCTTGGAGGCTAGGCAGGGCTGGTTAAGGCCTGGAAGAGGAATTATAATCACTGACCCCACAAAATTAATTAATGAGGGTCAAGCAAAAAAGGACAGGGACAAGGATCTCTCATGAGGACCTCCCTGAATTGCATGCCTCTGTCTGACCCAAGGGGACAACCTTGATCTTTCTAAGCCATGATGACCTAGCTGCCCCACATCGTACTGGAAAGAACCAGAAGCCATGAGCCAGAGGGGAAATCTAGAATCCCAGAGCAGTTTGGGATTTAGGACCCTGGTGGAAGCCAGTCCTCAAGAGTCAGGGCTCTCTCTAGCCCTGGTTATGTCACCCTAGTCTTGCTGAACCTGAGTCCAAGCCAGGTGTACAGGGAGCTGAAGTTCACAGACTGGCTGTGGGGGATAGTTGTCACCTGTAGTAGGTGGGGGAGAGGGAGGACCAGTGGAGTAACAGCAGTTTTTTCTTCCAAAAAGGGGGACCCAGTCGCCTGAGGCGAGCCCAAAGGATGAGTGGATCAGAACCATTTGCCTCTTGTGCGGTCCAGGGATGCTCCCCCAGGGCTCTGTGGTGTTGATGACTGGGAGTGCTCCCAGTGGTACCCCTTTAAATCAGAACGGCGGTCACCTTAGCAGAGCCCCTGTATGGATGTCAGTGGGGAAGAGACCAACTGGACTCCCACAAAGATGAAGATCAGCAGTGATCTCAACTGGACCCTCACAGGGATGAGATTTAAGGCCACCCCCGGCAGGACTTTTAGAAGGGTCATGACCAAGGCATCTTCAGCTGGAAGGTCATGGAAACCAGAATCAGATGGGAATCAACAAGAGTACAGGTCTACCCTCCTGGGGATCAGGGGCCTTCCCAGAGAATCACTGTGGAATGACTTTGGTCAGTGGTTGTTCAAGTGGGCTCCTGCCCCATGGTAACAGTGCCAAAGATGCCCTGCCAGGCCCTAATCTGAAGAACTGGGTGCTTTCCATGCATCCTGTTAAGACCCCCAGGATGACACCGAGGTTCTCAAGCCTGGAAACAGAGCCTGTGGCACCAAGGCATTTATTGCGGCCCCCACAGCCTCCTCCAGCCCCCTGACCGTGGGGTCCAGCCGGGGCCATTCTCTGTCCCCCATGTGTGGTCCGATGGCTTGTAAGGTGTCCCTTCTTCCTCCACTGGGTCCTCAGGGGCCCCCTCTGGCTCCAGCGCGTCCTCCACGGCCTCTGGCAAAGTGTTGTCGTCCTGGTCAGAACCCATGGGGGGCGGTGTCCAGGGCACTCCTGGCGTTGGCCGTGGTGGGAACCAGAAGCCGGGCGCAGGAGCCAGTGCCACAAGCTGAGGCCGCACAGGACCGGAAGAGGAGGCATGTGGTATGAGGAAGAAGATGTAGACCCCAGAAACCACAAGGCCAGCGGCCACCAGCACTGCCAGCGCCACCGCTGCGTTGAAGGCCCAGGCCGGGCTGCTCAGCGTCAGGCGTCGGGATAGCGGGCGGCCGAGGCGCAGCGGCGGCGGCGGTGGTGGGGCGCGCGCGGCACGGCTCTTGCG